TCTCTCTCTCTCTCTCTCTCTCTCTCTCTCTCTCTCTCTCTCTCTCTCTCTCTCTCTCTCGTCCTGCCCGGCTCCCCAAGCATCTTAGACCAACCCTCTTCCTACCAGTGTTCATACAGGTGGCCACTGCGAACAGTCAATAGGCCCTATTTATTTAATCGGGACCCTCAAATGAAAAGACTGTCTATTGAGACAAGCTCTCCACTTCCGCTTGGTGTCTGAGATGTGCCTCCTCTGGTCGGTGGGGAGTAGACACTGATGTTGAAAAAGAAGCCCATGTCCGCAGAGTGGGCGCTGGAGGCTGGACCCTGGGAGGGACAAGGGCAGCAATGGCTGGAACTGGGGCAGTGAACAAACCTACAAAGGCCTCTCATCTTTTAATCCACAGCCCAGGCGCAGTCAAACCTCTTGGGGAAGTGCCGAAGGCCTCGCACTGCCTTCACCAGCCAGCAGCTGTTGGAACTGGAACACCAGTTCAAGCTCAACAAGTACCTGTCCAGGCCCAAGCGTTTTGAGGTGGCCACCTCGCTCATGCTCACCGAGACCCAGGTGCGCACCTGATACCCCGTCCCGTCAGGCAGCCAGTCCCCACAAAATGCCCAGGCAGGCAGTAGTTTGGGGAACTGGGTCCCAGCTTCTTGATCGACCTTCAGGTTGGGTATTAAGTCTCAGTGGGACAGGTTCTAGAAAGACCCAGAGCATTTTTTCCATGCTGGAGGTTTGACTCAATAGGCTTGGGTAGAGGCTGAGAATCTGTATTTAACAAGTTATTCTGGGGAAGGTGTCCCGCAGGCCAAATTCTAGGTGATTCTTTTTCTAGAAAGGCGCGGATTTAGAGTTTAGAGACCTGCTAGCTGCCCTGGTGTCTCGATAGACTAAGGGCATGGAGTGAAACACTCCCAGCTGTGAGTTTGGGGCACCACACCCAGCTATGGAATTACTGAAGAATAGAGTGGATATAGGGGCTTCTCGATGTAGGGAATCGAGAAGCCGCTGCCCAGTCGGCTTCTTAGTCGTCTAGGAAGTCCCTTCTAGGGTAAGGGTGGGCCGAGGGGCAGGGATCCCGGGTGCTCACACCCTCTGCATCCGTGATGATGCAGTTGTCGGGTTTCTCACGCCAACTTGTGCCCACAGGTGAAGATTTGGTTCCAGAACCGCCGAATGAAATGGAAACGCAGCAAAAAAGCCAAAGAGCAGGCTGCGCAGGAGGCGGAGAAACAGAAGGGTGGCGGCGGAGGCACCGTCAAAGGCTGCGCTGAGGAGAAGGCCGAGGAAGAGCTGCTGGGGCCGCCGGTACCTGGGGACAAGGGCAGCAGCCGTCGCCTGCGGGACTTGCGAGACAGTGACCCGGATGAGGATGAGGATGATGAAGAAGACGACCACTTCCCCTACAGCAATGGCTCCGGTGCCCACGCCGCCTCGTCTGAGTGTTCATCCGAAGACGACTCTCCTCCACCAAGGCCGGGTGGGCCCGGGCACCATCCTCCGCCTCAGTAGTTGCCCTAAGCGCGGCAGCAGGGACGCGCTCGATGGCCAGCTTGGCTGCAGGTTTCCAACCCCATCCTGTGGCCTGCAGCTGTCTGGCAGCCGGTCTCCGAACCGTGCATCCAGGTGCGGGCTCGAGTGGGCGATTCTATTTGGGCTCTTGAAGGTCAACGAGAGAGAGAGAGAGAGAGAGAGAGAGAGAGAGAGAGAGAGAGAGAGGGAGAGAGGAGAGAGAGCTCCACTGTGAACTTTTCGTTCTTTTCAATTTAATTTCGGGTTGTGTTGGCCGGAGGTGCTTGTGAGAAGAACCCATCCCTTGAGAAGTGGCTCCTGCCTGGCTCTTCCTTCATCGGAGAAGGGAAAACTACAGTGTTAAGTGACCTAGAAACTTGAATTCTTTGGAGACACCATTCTGCTAAGAATTGAAAACAAAAAAAAAAAGGTTTTATGCCTATGTATGGCGGATATTATGTCATAAGCATTCAGATTGCTGAAAAATCTCAGAATGGTAGTGTATTTTTGTATATTGTATTTATATATAAAGAAAGAAACGTCTACTTATGCATGCTAAATTATTATTTAGCTTCCCCATTCCCCAGGGTGGAGATGGAATGTAAAATAAATTGGTTTTGTACTGGATGAGAGTGAAAAACAAACTTTAATTTTGGAAGGTGGAGGATTGAACCCAGGGCCATGGGCAAGCGAAGCAAGTGCTGTGCCACTGGCCCACACCACCAACTCAGGAAGAGCAAACCTCGTGGGGCCTGGCTGTTTTGGTTGTAGGGATGGCGGGCAGAGTGTCTACTTCGTGATTATCAGCAAAGGGTGAAAATCAGAATGGCAAGTGGATGTCAGGATCAGCTCTATGCCCGGGGGGGGGGGGGGCAAGTCCGAACCTAATTCCCGCGGCTGAAGGGGCAGGCGGGGGTGGGGATCGCAGGTGTGAAGTATGGCTAAAAATATCAGAGGCCAGGTGTCAGAGTGAGACCAGTGCCTGGTTTAAACCCTGTGCTGTTCGTGACCGAGTGATTTTGAACACTGTGTTTATTTCCCATTTACTTGCTGGATCTTTTAGCTTCATTGGCATGGGAATATAGTATTTGAATATTTCGGAGAATAAGCTGCCAACAACTAGGTGTTAGTGGCATTTGGGGTCCTAGCGATCCAGGCGCTAAGCAAGCACATTTCCCGGAAAAGCACTTAATGGCGCCTTGCAGCGCGTTCTCCTTTTGACCGGGCACCCTCAGCCAGCACGACGTCCCTTGTGCTAGCCAGGAACGATTTTACTGGATCTGTACAAATGTCTTCTGAGAGGAAGCGGCAGGCGGCAGGCGGCAAGAATGCATCCATGCCAGGGCTACAATGGCTCTGGGTTAATAAACCTCTGCAGCGAACGCCATCAATCATTCAGTCCCCAGACCATGTGCGGCACAGATGCCGAGCCCAGCCCTAAGCACATTGGTCCTCAGCATCTTGACTCTGGCCAGGGAACGCGGAGTCTTCCGGGTCTGGTTCAATCCCCCCCCCCCCCCCCCCCCTCCCCCACTTCCCATTCCTCCTTGGTTGTCTTGGTGGTCAGCTTTCGAATGAGACCTCTCTTGGGTCTTCCTCCGTTCCTTCACTTTCTCTGAGTGTGGGCGATCAGCCTCCTCCGCTTGCTTCTGCCCGCCCTCCCTCCCAGCTGCTGAAAGTTCAGAGGGGCCTGGAGTTTCATTTGGGTGATTACAGCGGGGCCAGCGGGGCACTCCTCCATCTCAGAGCCAAGTCAGATTAATATCCTCCTGGCAGCTCATTATCACCCTGGGCTCCTTCCGTAAAATCCAAGCCCGCTCAAGTCGGGTGTGGGACTGGAAGCCGGCTCAAACCGGCTCTAGCCGGGCGTCGGACGGCAAGCTGAGCGCGTGCCGTGCTCAGCAGGGCAACTGCTGAGCGCCACGAGCGCGGTGGACCGGAGTCCCTGCAGCCTTCCGATCCAAAAGGTTTTGGGGGCGAATTCGGACTGGGTTTACAACTGGTGAAGGGCTGAAGGAAAGGAAATGGGAAAATCTGAAAGGAGTGGATGAAAGAGAGAAAAGGTACATGTTTTGTTTTTGTTTTTTTTCGTCTTTTAAAAAGACATATGTATATCTTTTTAATTTCTAACGCATTGGCGAGGTTCAGCCCGAAGCAATCTCTTCGCAGTCTGGCGCCACATCTGGGGGTTATTTTCCCTCCGAGGATGGCCATCCCAGTTTCAGAGCCTCTGAGCCCGAAACACTGAGTAAACAAGAAAAGGGAGGCCTGGAACTGGGATGGAAGGGTAACAAATGATCTGGGAACTCAGGGTACCCCCACTTTAAGGGAGAGACACTGCCCTGAAACAAAGGCCAGCGGAACGCTGGAGGAAGAAACAACCACAAGGACAACCCATTCCATTTCTCCCCACTAGGGTACAGCAGGGCAGAGAGCCTTTAGTTTGGCGCGCAGATCCGCCGGCGGCCTCAGTGTCTCAAGCCAGCAGCTTAATCGCAGCGGAATTTATCTCGCTAATAAATTTAATGATCAATTCGTTCTTGTCACAGTAGCTCTTCCCCAAATCAATTATAGCAAATTTAAATATAATCACTGCCTCATCCTAGCTTACTCCGGGCACGGTACTCATTCATTCCGCCTAAGAAACTGCCTGGAGGCCTCCTGGCTCGCGTGGAGGGCTGCACCTCCACTCAGGGTCACTGACTTGGCTGTGCCACCCACAAGGACCGCCTTGGGCATCTCCTCCATCCTCACTCGAGCCTCTGTGGCCCCGGGCCAGGGTGCTGGGACTAGAAATTGGCTTTGCAGTCTCAAGGATTGGGTTCCCAGAATCACAGTCAGCTAGGTCTACACAGTGGGCATCCTGATGTTGGGAGTTCGAATTCCAAGCTTCGTACTCAGATATCCCCAGGTGACCCAGCCCTCAGCTGGCGATGCCTGGTCCCTATGATGTACAGCGATTCCGTGGTGTAATGTAAGGATCTGAGAGCCCCACCCCCCAATACTGACCTGGACTCCCATAACTCTGATGACCGATTTCTTTAGTGATCCAATAAAATAATCTGCACCCTTTCCAGTCCCTGAGGGCAGTGAGAGGTTAATAGTATAGAGTCTGGAAGCCCAGAGCAACTAGAAGTAGAGGAGGTGGGTCTGCTCTTTTCATGTTAGCCCTCCCCAGCACAGTGCCCAGATGGGAGTCAGCTTGGAGAGGAACTTTATGAGCCCCAAAACACGAACAAGAGAAGCAAAAATAGGCAACTGGGAGTCTATCAGTGAAAAACTTCAGTGCCACGAAGGACAGAGTTAACAAAAAGGTTAACACTGCAAGCCAATGGGCTAACATGGAGAATAACAACTACAATTCAGCCACAGCAAAAGTCGAAACAACACAACTGAAGACTCATAAGGACTATAACAGATGCAGAGGAGGAGTGGCTAGGAAGAGAAATGCCAGTCAAACCTTGAGGAAGATGCACCCTCTACAAACACAAAAGACTTGATGTGAGGGTGTGGAGAAATCTGATCCCTTGTGTGCTGGCAGGATGGAAGTGTGAAGTGGTGCAGTCACCATGGAAAGCAATGGAGAAGTGTCTCAAAAAAATCAAAACTGGGCTGATTCTACAGCTCAGCAGTAGAGGGCTTGCCTAGTATATGCGAGGCCCCCAGTTCAATCTCTATTACTACTAAACAGCAACAAAAGCAAACCAGACCACTGCGTGAGCCAGCAGTGCTAGTTTTGAATATCTAAAAACTGACAGCAAGCTCTGAAGGAGAAATAAGCACACTCATATTTTATGACATTATTATTCAAAAGAGGTAAGAGCTGGGAGCAAGTTAGGTATTCAACTGCAGGTGAATCTATGAACAAAATGTTCACACTATGGAGAAAGGAAGGAAGGAAGGAAGGAAGGAAGGAAGGAAGGAAGGAAGGAAGAAAGGAAGGGCAGCTCTGCCACATGCCTCAGCCTGGATGAGTCCAGGAAACTACTGCCCTGGAGAAATAAACCAGCCACAGGGAAACCATCGCTACTGGCCTTCACTTGTATAGGCACCATTTAATTTTTTAAAAACTGTATATGCACATGTCTCTGTGTAGCATTATGTGACTGCAGGTGTCCTTGGAGGGTAGAGGCAAAAGATCCAGATTCTCCTGGAGCTGGGGTTACAGGCAGTTAAGTGAGGCCTTAAGTGGGTGTGGGCACCAAACTCAGGTCCTCTGCAAGAGCAGAACCTGCTCTTAACCCCCAAGTCATCTCTCCACACTCATGGGGTCATTTTAGGACCTCAGAAAATGGTTGACAATGGGTGGAAGGAGAGGCAGGAGTGGGGATGGGTGTCCTAGGGAGTTGTTTACAGGGACAGAATTTCTGTTTGGGAAAATGAGAAGGTTCTAGAGATCTGGAGGCTACAAGAGGAGTTTAGTTAACATTATTGTACTGTACACTTAGAAACGGTAGTGAGGGAGACAGGGGCATATGCTTATCACCTCAGCACTACTTAGGAGTGCCTGTCTGAGCCAGGATCTACATAGGGGAACCACATCTAAATGATGAAGTTGGTGATGGCGGTTGTATAAGAACCCTGTAATCCCACTACTCTGGTGCCTCAGGCAGGAAAATTGCCAGGGACCAGTGTGGGCTGCATAGCAAGACCCCATCTAAAAAAGAAAAAGGTGAAGATGTTTTTTACGTTTTTTACATTTTCACCCCTCGTCTCTGCATTCTATACCCCACCCTCTCTGCGCGCCCCTTTCTCCTTTTCCTTACAAACTAAGCGCCAAACAGGTCGTTTTGTCCGATAGCCTCCCAGAACTGAGTGTGGCTCCATGCCTGGCAAGGTGCTTCAGGGTGGTTCCGTCGTACACCTCTCAGGGGTACCAGTTGAAGGCGCCCTGTAGACTTCGTCTATCCTCGGGGTGCAGGGACAGTCTAAGTCAGTCCTCTGACCCTTCAAGTCGAGCCCCAGGGCTAGGTAAGTGGGAACTCCAGGGAGAAGAGTGG